TATTTCAAATTTAAAATTTCAGTCTAATAACTATTTGATCAACATGTTTAATTTGTCAATGATGACAGGTATTGATAATTTCAATTTCAAATATCTCGAGAACCGTTACTCGTAGCGATTTTTACCAAGAGACCTTTTTTATGTAAAAAAAGTTGTAAATATATATTTTTTTACTCAGTAGTTTTATACAGGTATGGATGAAAAGATATTACTCTTCAAACCAGTTAAAGCATATTCAGGTGGCGCCCTCTACAAGTAGGAGTCATATTGACATGAAAATCAAATTTCTCATGTACAAAAACTGCCAGACACCAATTTTCATCCAAATATTGACGTTACTTCTTAAATTATTTGGAAAAAATCGAAATAAAAATGAAATTTCTACACCCTGTATCTCCGAAACTAAGCATTTTAAGACACACATTTATACGAACTTTTTTACTTATTTTAATCAGCAGAATATGCTGCCGAAGTTTCCGGAATACAATTCGGACCACCCTGTATAAGTGAAAAAATAACCCACATACAGGGTCCGGCAATAGTGTGTCGGGCATCTGTAGCTCCTAGAATAAAAAAAACTTGAGAATTTTGTTTAAGTTCAAATCTAAGGTATGCACTAGAATGTATTTCAGGAAAATATTTTAACTTCTACTGGATACCTAGCTCAAAAAAGTGTGAGTGGATCGTGCTTGATTTTTTTAATAGAACACCCCGTATATTATGAATTTTTGGCTTCCTTTCAGATCACTTTACATAATCCTAAGATATGTAAATATGTTTCGATAGTTTCAGAGATATTAATAAATAAATAAAAAAATATATTTTTTTCAAACTTTAAAAAAATACTAAAAATACAAGAACATACCTGGTACCAAAACTGTATTAGTTGTATTAATTAAAAGTTGTATTAAATAAATTGTAATTGCTATAATATCGTAATCTTAAATCATACAGGATGGTTACTCCATACTCTAAATTATACAATAACTTTTATTGTTTTTTTTAAATGGAGCGCCCTGTATATTATTTTTTTAATTGATGGAGAATTAAAAATATATAATTTTTGTATTTAGATTCTTTCAAGATTTTTAATGGTTTCGCAGATATTCGCGGTTTTATATTTCAAATGTCATTTTCCACAGTAAATTTTTATCGAAGCCACCCCATTGATTTTTCTCTCGTATTTTACCGTTGAAAAAGCTATATGAAATAATAACGCCAGGATCTGTGAAACCGTTAAAAAACTTGAAATGCTATAAATACAAGAAATAAATATTTATTTTTACCTTCATCTAATAAAAAAAATAATATACAGGGAATACAGGGTGATCCATTTAAAGAAACAAAAATATTTTATATTTCAGAAATTTTTTTTTTTTTTAAATTTTACCGCCCTGTAGATTTAAGATTACGATATTTAGTAAATTATTGAAATAACCGACATCAAATAAGCGACGAGTTACGAGCGACGGACGCAAGCGATCCTAGAATGAAATAAATTAAAATCCGATTTTAATGTGACATACTCGATAAAAAGTCGAGCGAATTTTCTACATACATTGTAGGTAGCAAATTTATACGACGTTATCCGTATCTATATATACGTGTGTATATATATATATATATATATATATATATATATATATATATATATATATACGTTTGCGTATCTGAGTGACAAAATTTTACGACCCACATCGACAATGCTGTGAAATAAATCCAACCAAGCGAACTACTCGTCGCTCGTTGCTTGCTACTTGCCATTCACCACCGAAAGAATATTACCTATGTGCTCTGCACAGGCAACTTACTGCTTGACGTTACGAGGACAACAAGCGACAGGCGAAAACCCGTACTTTGGAATACTAGCGATATTTTGCTCGAGTGATCGCTCGATTATTGAAATCGCTTGAAACTCGAGTACTGGATTATTGAAATTAATCGGGTTTTCCCATTAATAATACTTATAACAAAGTAAATATAGACCATCTAAAGTAAGTACCTGATATAGTTTTGATTCCAGGACAGTTTTTTAAAAAGGCCAAAATAGACATTTTTATTTATTCCATGTTGTAGTTCATTCTTCCTCCATGTCTACTTCCCATGTTCCGTCCCATTCTTTATTTTATTCTATATATTCTGGACGTTTTGAAGAACTGAGAATGACATAACTTAGAATACATACCCAGTACTAATAAATACATAGAATTTGTCAATTTGATCTGTGATCTATTGCGTAAGAGAAGGTAGACAACGATATGCATCAACAGGAAGAGTCTACTATATGATGCAAAGACACTACCTTTTTATTAAATAATATATTGGTGTTGCATCACGAGTGGAGTAGAAATTCCCATGTAAATTTTGGCCGGGGTCAATTATTGACTTCCTAGTTATTTTAGAGAATAATTCTATTTAGGTTTATTGAAGAGCACTAAAAACCCACATTCAAAAGAATAACTTAGATATTTTTGATTAGCCTGTTTACGAGCTATCGCCGATTTCTTTTTAAATATTTCTCCTTCTTATGGCCCTGTATTTATTTTTATGAGCACCAGTCAAGGTAAAACATAACCATAAACATAACTGTCAAATGAAGTTGTCATTTCAGAAATTCTATTTAGTGCTTTATTAATATTATTAAAACTCCATACGTACATCGAAAATATTAGGCCATGAATTACACTACCGAAGAAAAAATATTGATGATTAAATGGTATTATCAAAGAAATAGTTATCAAAGGTGTCGGACATGTTTGCTCTGTATCCGAATAGACCGATACCTACAAAATCTACAATCGCACGGAATATCCAGAGATTTGAGACCAAAGGTACCCTAATAAATAACTGCAGATGTGAAGCAAAGCAGGAACAAAGAGAAGATGCAAGAAATGATACCAACTTGGAAGTTTTATTGTGCATGGAAGAGAACGATGGGAAAGATCAGCACAAGGAAACTTGAGGATGAAATAGAATAGATCACACTACAGCGTTTCTTTTGAAACGACATAAATATTATTCCTTCAAATATGAAAAGCATAAAGAGCTAGCGATGGGGACAAAATACGGCGGCAGGTGTTTCGTTTTGATATGAATGAAAGAGCAAACACGGATAGGGATTTTAAAAAACATATGTTTCTTTACTGACGAATGCACGTTTACCTTAAATAATGAACCCAACGTTCAAAATTATCGGGATATTGGAACAAATAAAACCAACACAGGTTTATCGAAACAAGGACGCAATATCCACAGAAAGTAAATGTTTGGGCAGGGATATTCGGACACAATATTATCGGGCCATTATTTATTACGCGAAACTTAAATGCAGAATATTATTTGGAACTACTCGAAAATCATATTTTTCCTGATTTACATTACAGTTGAGGGTTGAAGAGGCTACATTGTAATAAAACATTAACACACACTGTAACACTTTATGCGCTGTTGACCATGCTAGTATCAGCAGATGATTATAAACTAAATACAGTACAATCTACAAGTTGAGCGTTTATATACTCTCGCTCAGTGGGCACAAAGTGGGCGTGGCAAAATCTTGCTAACTGAGTCAAAACCAACTGAGCGTAACAGTTAGATTTCCGCCACTAGAGTAGTAGGAACAAAGAACTTGAAGGAATTGGACCGTTGACTCTGTTCATACTATCTTTACATTTATTAATTCTGATGCTTTCATATGCATCTAAAGCATCATCTCAACTTGTAGATTGTACTTTAGTTTATAATCATCTGCTGATGATGCTAACATGGTTAGCGAAACGCGCGTCCAGTGTAAAAGTAAAAGTGTTTTGGTGTATTGTGGTGATTTAGTGTTTTTATTTTGCTGATCTACATGATGCCGCTAGAGAAAATCAGGAAGTTTGGTACCAAATGGATGGCTGCCCGGCAGATAGTATCCTGGCTGTTCGGGAATATTTAGACAATAGTTTTAACCGAAACGTTATTATTTGCCTAAATCATACAGTAAATTAGCCAGCAAGGCCTCCTGATATTTCGCCAAATGATTTCTTTTTCTGGGGCCATTTAAAAACAGGATATACAAGAATAAAAAATACTCAAATCAAGACGAGTTAAAATGCTATTTCGCTGAATGCAATAGAATTTCAAGTTTACCAACTAGCGAATGTAAGAAGAGAAATTTATGATCGCCTGGGTTATTGTCCAGCAGTCGATGGAGGAATATTTGAACATCTTCTTAAATCCTAAATTCCTAACAATTTAATAGTACCTAAATTAATAAGTTATTGAATATTGTAATAGTACTTTATAATAACCTTGTAATTGATTACTTTATTTTATTTTAATTCATATTAATTTACTTATAAATACATTTAAGATTTCCGATGTAGGAATGAGTTTCAATAATAATAAAGCAAATAGGTAAATTTCTGAAATGACAACTTCATTTGACAGTTATCTTTTATCTTGACTGGTGCTCATAAGTAAAATACAGGCCATAAGAAAGGAGAAATATTTAAAAAAAAATCGGCGATAACTCGTACACGAGCTAATCAAAATATCTAAAGTTATTCTTTGAATGTGGGTTTTAGTGCTCTACAATAAAACTCCAAATAGAATTATTCTCTAAAATAATTAGGGAAGCTAATAATAATTGACCCCATTAAAATTAAAATTTACATGGGATTTCCTATGTCTCGTCCGACGATGCAACACCCGGTATAAACTTTTAGAAATATTTGAATAAATATATTATCATGAAACAGCATAACACCACGGATTAACAAAGACAAAAATATTCTCTCCAAACGAAATAGTTTGACAGTTTCTTCACAGTTTCCACATATCCAATTATTGTTTTTATCATAAATAGTTTTATTTTTAATTCCATCATAAATAAATTTAATATAAATCTCGATTACTAATTACTACTTTTGATAATAATAATAATATGTTTTATATTATCTGTTCTAACAAACTTAACCCCTAACTGCTCGCTTTTTTCTTTTCAGGTTGCTCGCAATAGTCTAACAACAGATAATCTACATTTTATTAACTCTCATCAGAACTAACATCTACAAAAGGCGTTAAGAAAAATGCGATAACATACGCAACTAAACAAAGCATGGTCGGCTTTAAAATGTGGGGCACATAATGTACCCAATGGTATGTATTAATTTATATCTTTTTTAGGGAAGATTTTTTTTGTATGAAGATTTAAATTATGTTGATAATGTTTATGAATTTATTTTTATATTATCATACGTTTTGACAAACTATACATATCTTGATATTATCATATGGCATCATTAAAAAAGCGGCGTCACGGTGGCCTTTGAAAAGATTATAATATCTGTCCTGTCGTTCCCTCTATGTATATATGTATATATACTTCCAGGGATTGTCGCAACTAACGTCGCATCCTCACGCCTAACCGCCACCTGTTACGATCAAGAACATCTTCCTCTTCCAAGTTACGGTCCTCAATTGCCCTTCTGATGGCCTCATTCCAGGATCTTCTAGGCCGTCCTCGTTTCCTTTTTCCAGGAGGTGACCAGCTGTAGATACGGTAGGGCCATCTTTAGTGTTCCATGCGTAGCAAGTGTCCAAACCACTTAAGGCCCCCTCTGTTCGACTCTATCCACTATTGTCTGTGTGGCATCCATTTTGGCTCTGATTTCCACGTTCATAACTCTGTCCAGTTTAGATACTCCCGCACTGCGTCTCAAATAGTCCATTTCGAGTGCATTCAAAGCTCGCTTTTATTCAGCTTTTAAGGTCCAAACTTCACACCCATAAGTTACTACCGACTCTACTAGGGCTCTTCCAATATGTATTTTTGTGTTTGGTCTTATGTTTTTGTCCCACCAGATGCCATTTAGTGCTTCTATAATCTTCCGCCCTTATTCTATTCTAGCAGATACTTCTGTTTTGTCCAGTCCCTTTCTAGTTATACGTGCCCCCAAATATTTAAACCATTCAACCTGTCTGAGCTTTACATTGTCAGTAATAAAAATGTCAAATTTATCATCTGAATTGGTCACTAGATATTCCGTTTTATCAATGTTCACAGTAAGGCCCCATTCCGTGTATGCCGAATTTACCTGCTCATCATGAATTCAAGGTCGTAAGCATCTTGAGCTATGACCACCTGATTTCCCACACACTTCTTCTTCCAGTCCCTAAGAACCACTTCCAAATACAGATTAAATAAAAGAGACGACAGAGGACATCCCTGTCGAAGGCCTTTAGTTGTAAAAATTACCTCAGAAAGTTTGTTACCGCCCTTAACACGAGCTGTGTTGTTGTACAGCACCTTAATTAAATTTATGAGACATTCATCCATATCAAGTTGTTCCAGTATGTACCATAATTTAACTCTGGGGATGGAGTACAAGCAGTGAAAAGGGTAAAATGTTTCTTGAAACACTCAAATATATAGGGTGTCCCATTTTCCTGTGTTTTAAAGAGTTACCGTTTATGAGTAGAGATTCAAAGATGCGGTTTTCACATTACTGTATTACTTTATGAAATTAGATGCTACACACAGATTTTGCTCTTAGCCCTCTTTGTTCTAAATATACAGGACGAATTTTAAAATTTTATTTATGCCCTTTTGTATCTCGGTTATTTATAACTTATCGAAAACAAACTTATGTATCTTTAAATGGGATACCATATACAGGGTTATTCACCTCATCCGATTCGGAGTATTGTAGCCAAATAATTAGATATTTAGAAGTTGTGAATGATGGGATCGTTGGAGAAAAGTTACTATAAACATAATTAATAAAATTAAAATTACTTTTAAAAGGTACAGAGTAGTTCCAAATAAATAAAAATATCAAAGTTGTATTTTTTAATGGAGTATTATTATTAACATATATTATTACATTTTAATTTTACGATTCAAAATGAAGGTAAACCGTACGACTGAAACCTTACCGTTTGAAATATTTACAATTTTGTGAAAAATGCAATAACAATTTTAATTGTTTATTTCTCTAAGAGTATTTAAGTTTTTTAAACCAGATATTGTAATGAAGATTTCACTAAATTTTTGTGTTGCAATAATAAAATTTTTTTTTTTTTTTTTTTGTTTAAAAAAATTTAATTTAAATAATTTAAAAATCTAGTTTTTAAACGGCAATAACTTGTGTAATTTAAATAGACCCTGGTATATTTTATTTATAAATCAGTTGCTCAATTTAATTTATCAAATTGTATTGCTACACCATTTACCTATCTCTTTAAGATTTCAGAAAATGCATTTTCTTATAATTTAGACCTCTATTTATCCATATACATATGGAATATTGACATTTTAGAGTATTTATAAATATGTAACAAAATTTCAAAGAGCACAAATACTAATATTGTCTATATAGTATACTTCTATTTCCTTAAAAATGAAAAAAAAATGTTTGAATATTCGTAAAAGAAGGCCAACTAATATGAATCCAGACTAAGTAAAGAAGACTAGTAAAAAACTGTTTTGTATATGTATTAGACAATATGGTAAAAAGTAACACCTTATAAATTTTATTTCATTTTTGACGAATGCTTATTTATAACAACAGCGACGTTCACATTTATAACTTATTATTTCCTGATACAACCACATTTATTTAGAATAATTTATTAACCAACACAATTAAGTATGTAATTAATTAATATTTGGGGAGAAATAATGGTGGTATATTTAATCGGTATACTCTTTTGCAGAGATTTAAATAGTTTTGTTTTATAAACAAATGGGCTAGCTATATTGTCGGTTTTAGCACCTGCAATATTTTGTACATTTGCTGCTTTAAAAACACACTCTGTACATTTTGAAAGTACTTTAAATTGTGGCTTTAGTAGTCCTCCAGCGATCCTATCACTGACAATTTCTAAAATCTACTACAATACTCATGTCAGAATGATGTGAATAGATCCTGTATATTATTTCTTTTAATTTATTTACCTTATTTTTAAAAATATAATATACTCTATACTTATTTTCATAAACAAGGTAAAAAATGCATTCATTATTCCCTGACAGGAATAACTTTAAACATATTAAGTAAAGTATTCCTAAATATAATGTTAGAGAAAAGTATATAAAAAATAATTACTCAATAACGAATTTATAAAGCATCGGAAGTTTAGTCTACAAAAACACATTCAGGAGAAGTTTATTTTCATGTACGCTAGTTTTTCATATACTCGGATAAAAATACTTCCTTGAATCAAGAGTACAGTTACTCTGTTAGTATGTTTAATAGCCATTAGCAACGTTCTAAAACTTGATTATCAAATTCTTAGGTTTAGTTCAAAAATATATCATTGAAATTAGTTTTGATTTCTTTTAAGTGCGTCCAAGAATGTTGAACACACAGTATAAAAATCTATCTCAAGTTTGTCAGTAATTTTTATTCAATAATTTTATTTTTGATAAAATTCCTATCATACTATAAACAACCAACAAACTAAATAATAAATGAATTGTTCAAAATTAAATAAATTATTTGAAAAATAAGTATGTTGCTTTTTATACAGGGTATTTCTAAATTCGAGGACGATGGAATATCGGAAAAATCGTGTAACGCGCATATACGAGCTGATGCAAAATTTGTAATATTAGATGCCATTTTTTGGAAACAACGGATGTGTGACCAGGGACAAATTTACCAATTATTAATAGTTTGTTGAGCGTATACTGAACTTTGTATAAATTTTATTACAATGATGATATGTTCAGCTGTCAAATATATAAGCCGTAACGATAAGAAAGAGCCAGGAATTACGTTTCACAGATAAATAAACAGCCCCCTCCAGTGTTTTAGCGTTATCTTATTAAATTTCATAGACATTTTTCTGATATTATACTATATGTCATAACATGTGGTGCATAATAGTCCAAACTAGTTTTGTTTATAGTTAACTGGCATGATTTCGCCTAAGAAGCAGCATCCACCATAGGTGTAGGCGAAATATTTATCAAAAAAATCTAAATAAATATATATACAGGGTGATCCGAACTGTATTTCGGAAACTTCCGCAGCATATTCTGCAGATAAAAATAAGTAAAAAATGTCATAGAAATATATGTCCTAAAATGCTTAGTTTTCAAGATACAGGGTGCAAAAGCTTCATTTTTATTTCGATTTTTTCCAAATAATTTCTGAAGTAACGTCAATATTTGGATGAAAATTGGTGTCTGGGAGTATTTCGACATGAGACATTTGATTTTGATGTCAATACGATTCCTACTTGTAGAGGGCGCCACCTACATATTTTTAACAGGGTTGAAGCGTAATAACTTTTCATCCGTACATGTATAAAACCACCGAGTAAAAGAATATCAATTTACCACGTTTTTTACGTAAAAAGGTCTCTTGGTAAATATCGCTACGAATAATGGTTCTCGAGATATTTAGAATCGAAAATATCAATACCTGTCATCATTGACATAAATTAAACATGTTGACTAAAGAGTTATTAGACTGATATCATAAATTTGAAATGTTTTTGTGCCAAAAGTCCAACAGAAACTGTTTTATTGCCATTTTTTTGAAGAAAAATAAAAAGCTCCCAAATTTTATCATTTCAGTCAATTAATTATCTACTAAACATGTTTATTTTTAGTCAATAATGATATGTATTGACTATTTCCATTCTAAATATCTTCAGAACGGTTGCTTGTAGTGATTTTTACCAAGAGTATTTTACGTGAAAAATCACGGAAATGTATATTTTTTCACTCAGTAGTTTTATACAGGTACGGACGAAAAGTTGTTACTCTTGAAAACAGTTAAAACACATGTAAGTGGCTTCCCCTACAAATAAGAGTCATAACGACATCAAAATCAAATTTCTCATGTCAAAAAACTTCCAGGTACCAATTTCCTTCCTAATATCGACGTTACTTGAGAAATTATTAGGAAAAAAATCGAAATAAAATGAAACTTCTAAACCCTGTATCTCCAAAACATTTTCGGACGTACATTTATACGAATTGTTTTACTTATTTTTATCTGCAGACAGTGGCGGATACAGATACTAAAATCTATAAATTGGGTTAAATATTAAGCTTTTGGGTTAAAAATGGCGCTCTAAAAAGCATATTCTACGTTACTTTTTATTTGACCCCCCGCCCCTAAAATATATTCCGGGCCCCCCTAAAATAAATTTCTGTATCCGCCCCTGTCTGCAGAATATGCTACCGAATTTTCCGGAATACAGTTCGGACCACCCTGTATATATTATGCATAATTAAATAAGTCTCTAATAAGAGTAGCAGTAAGTAATAAATTATTTTTTAACCGCTGGAAAAAAATATATTTGTGAAACCATTAAAATTCCAATTTTTTTATGTTAACCCCCGGCACGATACTGTCTGAAGACAAATAGTAACAATTTAGTCTCAGCTGTTTTTGGTCCTTGTATTCTTTACTAATTGCTAAGCACTAATATTCTAACCTCTAACCCCCTGCTTTGCTAGGTGCAACGTCAACGTGACCAGCAACACCAAAAACCGAACCAAACTCGGAACCGCGCAGGCCTTCTAGAGCAGCAACCGACCGTGTCCGTAATATCCCGAGGCCGTTTCCAGCAGCACGACGTTCTCGAGCCGTTGCAAGAGGTATCCGTTGCGCAGCAAGAACTCACGGACGACGACGAGGAAGAGCAGAGGCTGCCGAAGAGACCGTTGCACAGAAGATTTTTCACTTACGTCAGAGAGGCGTGGACGGGAGTCAAGTCAGCCTTAGGTAAGCCGTTAAGACTTGGAGAGAAAATTCGAGGATCCTCGAGACGGACTATATCGAAAACTACTAATTCGTACACAATCCGCCCTAAAAGTCAAGGTCGACTAATTACGCTGAGACTTGAGCCTTTTCGCGTTCTTATTTACTGGACTAATTTATGAAAAAAAAATATATATTTTTAATATGCAATTACCTCATCTTTATTTCATCGTAGACCAGTAAGCAAAGGTTTTAGGGTCCGAATTCTCAACACCTGCAACGATTTACCTGAAATTTTAACAGTGAATAGAGATATATGTAAGAAACAAATGTTACATAGTAACGATGTGTGTTCCCACCCTGGGGGTGAGTACCACCCCTTCTCGGGGGTGAAAAATAAATCACCCATTTTAATTACAAAAATCAATAAAGGGACGAATTCTAAGCAAAAAATGTTCTATAACATTTTTTCAGAAAATTAACATTTTCCTAGTTATTTAGAATTGAAAATGTTGATTTTTCATCTAAAAAGTGCATATTTTTTGCCAATTTTTATAAATAACTCGAAAACCTTGCGTTTTATCGTAAAACTCATATAAAGCAAAAGTGAAGCTTTTGGAATAGCTAAACCATCCATTTTTTGTTGATTACCTGCTTGTTGTTTATGGTGTAATAATAGCCGAGTTATCATTCAGAAAGTTGCAACATTTTACCGTAAAATACTGGCGAAAGAACACATTTTTTCAAAAAAATGGATATAACCGTTTTTAAAGTACTTGAAAAGGCCTTTTAAATGCTTTCTTAAAAAAGTTCGTAGCTCAAAATCTCGCGGAGTTATGATAAAAATAATATGGTCACCTCATTATTTCGGAAAAAAATTAACAACAAAATCTATGACTAAAATCATAAAAATAAAAACTAAGCTTTTTTTAATTTAGATACTAAAAATTGACTCTGCAAGTTCGAGCGGTTTAGAATACCTAAATTTGGAAAAAAGTTGAAAATAATGAAAAAAAATTATTTTTTGTTTAAAAAAATTAATTTTTTTGACATATCTCAAAAACTAAGCAAGATACGTAAAAAATGCAACAGAGGAAAATTGAAGGTCTTTTTTCTGCAATATTTTTGCTATCCTTCAATTTTTCTCTAGATCTCTTTATTTCGTAGATATTACGTTTTTTTAGTTTAACTTGCATGTAAGGACCACCTTCTTTGAGCACTTAAAACCCAAAAATCTCGTAAAAATGAAGAGTTCAAGACTATTCAACTATAGATGTTAATTTGTAGCTCATGTAATTTTGTACCAATTAATAGTTTTTATTTTTATGATTTTAGTCATAGATTTTGTTGTTAATTTTTTTCCGAAAAAATTAGGGGACATTTTTTGAACTACGAACTTGAAAAGACCTTTAAAAAAAGACATTTAAGCACTTTAGTCTTTTCAAGCACTTTAAAAACGGCCATATTCATTCGAAAAATGTGTTCTTTCGCCATTATTTTACGGTAATACGGTAACAGGTTGCAATTTAGTTTTCGAAAAATAAAGAATCAAGTTTACAGAGTGATAACTCGGCTATTACTACACCTACGGTCAACAACAAAAAATGAGTCGATTCGTTATTCCAAAAGCTTCATTTTTGCTTTATATGAGTTTTGTACGGAAGCGCTGGAGGACCAGTATGTATTTTTTTTTTAATTCGACCGGTTGATTTTCACACTCAACTGATTGACTTAATACTCAACTAGTTGAGTTTCCAAACTCAACCGGTTGACTTTATAAACTCAACCGGTTGACTTTAAAAACTCAACCGGTTGACTTTATAAACTCAACCGGTTGACTTTATAAACTCAACCGGTTGACTTTATAAACTCAACCGGTTGACTTTAAAAACTCAACCGGTTGACTTTATAAACTCAACCGGTTGACTTTAAAAACTCAACCGGTTGACTTTAAAAACTCAACCGGTTGACTTTATAAACTCAACCGGTTGACTTTATAAACTCAATCGGTTGACTTTAGAATCTAAACCACGCGGCTCATTGTAGTATCAGTATTGGTAGTGACTGTTTTGTTTACATGTTTACTTGCAATCACAAAACATTACACCCACAGTAGATTAATATCAGTAATATCCCACTTTTAAAAGCTATATTTTTTGAATTTAAATATGCATAACACAACATTGCTTATTTAAATAGTTATGGATTTATATGTAATTTACTTATAACACGAATGCTCAGGTAAAAGCAATAGTTTTTGAAAGGTGCCAGCAAATGCGGTACTGATTGACAGTGATAGATGAGGAAAATAAAATGTGATTAAGGCTGATTTTATCTAATTGTCACTCATTCATATGCCATTTAATTTTCTGTCATGTTGCTTTACCTTGCTTTACCTTTCAAAAAGTATTGCTTTCACCTGAACATTCGTGTTCTAAGTAAATTATTGCATATAAATGTAAGCTTTTGAATTGATTTTAGTCACTTTTTCCCAAAATAACACAACTAATTATCCAAATCACGATGTATTCCAATAAAAATATAAGCTTAAAAGGACAACAACTCAATCTGACTGTTTTATTCCGCGTTTCTTTGGAGTCGTTTTCTCCTTCTTGTTGAGACACCTTGTGGGTCGATAGAATTCAACACATTACGAACAATATTCTGTCTAACATTTAGTCCTGCTTGCCAACATTTTCTGTGCATCCATTTATATCCATGCAGTTTACTTGAAGAAAGCACTTTTTCACTGATAAAATCTACTATATTTGGTAGTGGAGCATAATTTTTTCTCCGATATAAATTCAAATACCGCAGACGTCGTTTCAACGTTGTAAAACTAATAGTGAAGTTCGGTTGTAGAAGGAACAACAGTATTTCATGATTTTGTAAGCCCAAATAAAAGTAGTATTTAATGGCGTTATTCAAATGTGGTTGCTCCATGTTATCTTTCCAATTCTAGGACTTATTTATATTATTCTAGGACTTATTATATTATTATACATATTTTCCAATGTTAGGACTTCACGAGAGGAGAGCGCGTGTATACATGTGCACGAAAGCGCTACACATGTGAGAGTGGAATAGAAATAATCTACGGAAATAATTTAGAATGCTTGAGAAACTCCGGTTGAGTTTATAAAGTAAACTGGTTGAGTTTATATAGTCAACCGGTTGAGTTTAGAAACTCAACTAGTTGAGTATTATGTCAATCAGTTGAGTGTAAAAATCAACCGGTTGAATTTAAAAAATACATACTGTCCTCCAGCTTCCGTAGTTTTATGATAAAACGCAAGATTGAGTTATTTATAAAAAAATTGCAGAAAAATATACAGTTTTTAGATGAAAATCAATATTTTCTAATCCTAAATAACTCGAAAATATTAATTTTCTGAAAAATGTTATAGAACATTTTTGCTTAGAATTCATCCCTTTATTGGATTTTGTAATTAAATAAGGATTTATTTCTTTTTATTGATGGTTTCAGCACCGATGCTGAAACCATCAATCGATTAAAAATTCTAAAATACATTTTTAATAAAAAGAACAACTAGAAAACTAGATTTAAGAAAATTTCATTATCTATATAATTTGTAACAAATCATACAATTTATTTTTACGCAGTTTAAAAATCACTTTTCCCCAGTGTCATAACCGATAATTTACGACATTGGGTCATAAATTCAGCATTTCGAATATTAAACGAATTTACAAACTATTGCGTTTATGTTCACCCGTCTCGGTATTAAAAGTGATAAAATATTTATATATAATAAAATAGCCCGTAAATCTGGCATTTTTACTTACACTAGAATATTCTGGAACCTAAGATAACTTTTATGTCACGTAACGGAGTCTAGGCAATTCCCGATCTACTTAAGTGTCTAAATGAGAATTCTTCGTCCATTGTTAAGGTCATATTATATAGAACTCGTAACTAACAGGAAAGTTTAAAGAAGTTAAGGCAAAAGCATGACAAAAATATCATATGACAACCAATACCGAGAGAAAATTGTAAATTCGATTGATAATAATAATAACAGTAGCCTTATACTCCGTATATAGCACGCTTTTGAAGTGGCAAGGTATAGCTTACTATACTAGAGTATAGTTTAGTATACTAGGCAAGTGTGGGGCTACATTTGTGTGGCAAGCACTACGCACTAGCAACCGCCTTGCTATCTTAAGATGTAAACTCCAAGTACTCATTAAGCCTGGTCGACACGGTCAAAGTTTATTTAATCCAAGTACACTTTGACCGTGTCAACTAGGCTTTAAGACTGAATCGACGTAGGAACGGAAACTGTTTTTATTTTTTATTAAAAATCATCGGCTGATAAAATGCCTGCCGCAAGATTCAAACCACCTGTTAAAATAATCAACTGGTGCAATTGGTAAACGAGGGCTCTACCTCTACACCACCAGGCAGAATATCCAATACTTCCAGAGAAACTAAGTAAGGAATAGTCAAGTTCGGCGTAGAAGTATGAACATCCTGTGCGCTTACAATTACCATATTTATAGCAAATTTAAGTATTTACTTAACTTACATAATACTAAGATATGAGTAAATATATTTCGATAATTTCAGATATTAATAAATAAAAATATATATTTCTCATGAAGATCTGAAGACAAAAATGCAATAAATACAGGATGTTCCATTTAAAAATCATTTTATTCCACTCCTCACTTTTTTGAGCACCTTCACAACCTTATAGAAGTCAAATATTTTTCTGAAATACATCCTAGTACATACTTTCAGTTTGCACTTAAACAAAAGTTCTCAAGTTCTTTATTCCAGGAGCTACAGATGCCCGAAGCACTATTGCCGGACCCTGTATAGATTATTTTATAAAAATAAACATCAACTGACCCATTTTTTAATATACGATTTTGAGGATGCTGTGCTTTTATTCCCTCATTGGAGATTATTTATTGATTATTTAATATATTATTGTTAACTATTACCACAGATTATACAGATTATTATCTTTGTTTTTCTTTATTGTTTCGTATCCCAC